TTTTTTGTCTTTTGTCTTTTTTCCGTGTCCGGCAACGGATCGCAACCCTCAGTGTTGCCCCCGTACCGGACCGGGGACTGGCAACGGGATCGCAACCCTCGGTGTTGCTCCCGCGCCCCGCTCAGCCAGTGAGCAGGAACCGGTCCGCATGTGGGATCCGAACCCTCGGACGGGAGCGCCACCACGCTTCCCAAGCGGCGCACTATCCAGTGCGCCACCGGCCGGCCCAAAACAGACATTTCTTTAAAGAAGATATGTGAATGGCCAATAAGAACATGAAAAGATGCCCAAAGTCATTAGTCACTAAGGAAAGGCAAACCACACTGAGATACCACATCACAACCACCAGAATAGCTAAAAAAGGAATGTAAGCGTCGGTGAGGATGAGAATTTGGAACCCATACATTTGCTGGAGGGCAGGGGGGGCAGTCTGGTCGTCTTCACTTGCACGTGCTCTGCACTCGCCCGAGCCGTGCTGGGCCTGTCTTGCCTCACCCTGCACTGGACCATGCCTGTTTGCCCAGCCTGCTCCAGGGACACCTCTAGGCCACACCACGCCCACCTCCCTGCCCTGCCGCACAGCAGGCTCCATCTCTCACCAGCCTCTCCCCTTCACCCTGGCCTGGCCAGCACCCGCTCTGCCCACAACCAGGCAGGGAGTGGCAGGCAAGTTCACTGATTTGCAGTGAATCCCTTTTCTGAAGCCTCGGACGAGCCAGCCGCCTGTAGCACCCCTGGCAGCTCCACCTCCTGCGTGTTTACCTCACTTACCCTCCACTCACAACCTCAGCCAAGCTTCGCACCAGCAGGAGCACCAGTCCCCTGCTCTGCCCTCTCCCCTCCTGAGTCAGAGGGCCCTCCAACCCCCCCGCACCAAGGCCAGGCTCCTGTCTGCATGGGTGGCCACTGCGTGGGAAGGCACTGCCGCTCAGCTGGCCCCTTTGCATAGCATGTGTTGCCCTCACTGTCCAGCCATCCAGCAAGGCCCCAGGGCACCTCTGCGAGGCTCCTGTCTGAGCCACCACGACTGCCGCTGTACCTGAGGACACTGTCACCTCGCTCAGTGCTGCCACCACCACCTGTGCTAGCTCTTCTCTGCTCTCCCCTCCTAGACTCACTCCCCATGGCCCACCTGTGTCGGGCTCCTCTGCTGCACCCTGACCTCTTCCTATGTCTGAGGGCAGGGGTCTCCTCTGCTCCCACCAACACAAGCTCTACTCTCTGCTGACGATTCCTAACGGTCAGCTCCAAGCCCACATGGACTTCTCACGCTATGTCCAGTATCCACACTGATCTGTGTGCAGGTGCACCACAGCCAGCTGCCTACCCCCCCAAAAGGACCCTGAGTTTGCCTCCCTCCACCCGCTGCACTGCACAGGACAGCCACTTCCCCTGCTGGTCCTTCTCAGCAGGAGCACGAGGGGCCGCAAGGTGTAGACCAGGTTTCAATCACTCTCATGTTTTCTGCTGTCCCTAAGTAAAATCCAACCTGCTCCCGCCTGACCCCTCAGACACAGCAGGGAGGCTCCCTGTGCCAGGTCCTTAGATCTCTCTGTGCTTCTTTTCACGGAACTTGCTGTCTCTCCACCACCCTCTGCACGGACATAGCAGATGCCGGCACAGCCGCCACCTCCCCTGCCCGACCGCTGCGGACAGCCTCAGCCTGAGCTCGGCTCCATCACTCGTGGAAGCGGAGCAGCAGCAGCGCCACCCCCGGGGCGGTAGCAGTATCAGCCCGGCTGGCTCCGGCACAGGCCGCCATCGTGCCCGGGAAGGCGCTCTGCTGTGGTGCTGCCACCGGGAGGGCCTGAGGCCACCAGCGGACTGGACCCCATGAGGCCCAAAGACACAACTGCACCCACGATGCCTCCTGACGGCTCCGCCTCGCAGCTCTGCCCACCTGATGCTCCCAAGCCCCAGAGGGCCGCGTGCCTAAGGTCCTGTCCCCGTCACACTAGCGCAGATCGTGGCCAGAAAGAGTGGTGCACAGAGGCCGAGCCTCCTGCCACCAAGGGCCAAGAAGGTCCTCCTGGAAGCAGTGGTGGCGGCAGACACGGCCAGAGGCTCGCAAGGACCCACAGGCCCCAGCGCGGTGAGCGGGAGAGCGGAGAGCAAGCGCCCTGGGCTCCGCGGGCGGTACCTGTCCGCCCCTCCTCACCTGCCCCCTCCTCCTCACCCGCCCGACCCCTCCTCACCTGCCCCCTCCTCACCTGCCGCCCTCCTCACCTGCCGCCCTCCTCCTCACCCGCCCGCACCCTCCTCACCTGCCGCCCTCCTCCTCACCCGCCCGCACCCTCCTCACCTGCCCCCTCCTCAC